GTACCGGACCAGGACCGGCAACGGGATCGCAACCCTTGGCGGTGCACCCGCACCTCGCTCAGCCAGTGAGCGGGAACCGGTCTGTATGTGGGATCTGAACCCTCGGCGGGAGCACCGCCGCACTCCCAAGCGGTGCACTACAGCAGTGCGCCACCGGGCCGGCCCTCTGTATGAGATTCTGATTTCCTTTCTCCCAAGCCTACCCTAAGTGTCTCAGCTCCTGTGACTAACTCACGTGGTTCTCCTTGCCTGTGGTGTCCTTTCTTCTTAAAGTCATCTTCAAGGACAGTTCAAATACCACCTCATCCACCGAGACTTCCTGGGCCCTCCTAAGCTAAAAGTGATCCCTCTCCCCGCCTTACTTCCCACAGCCCTTGTTCACGTCCCTTATGTTCTCACTCTGTCTCCTGTTAGTTAATCTGGGTACCTCATTCCTACTCCTAAGGTTAGAAGCTCCTTAGAGCTGAGCTTGTAAGACTGGGCATCCCTGGTAACCTACACAATGAGAGACACCATGTCCAGCCTATGCTGGTGAAGTGGACAAGTTACCTGCATGGATTTTAGAGTCAGACAAACTTGAATTCTAATCCCAGCTCCACTATTTATAGCTATGCCCTTAGGCAAGTCAAATCATCTCCCTGAACTTCAGTTTCCCTATCTGCAAAATGGGGATAAAACCTATCTCAAGGGATTTTGTGAAAATAAATTGAGATACCATTTAAATACTCTGTTAAAATTCTGGCTCTGCTATTTACCAGCTGTATGACTTTAGGCATTACTTAAGTCTCCTAAATCCTTTTCCTTTATTTATAATATGACAATATTTCTACCTATCTCCCACAGGGATGATGCAAGAATCAAAAGAGATAAAAGCACAGGGAGAAACTCTGGAAATTTTAAGGCCCTAGAGATATTAGGAATGTGCATCACACAATGCTCCCAGGAAACCAAGGGCTCACTCAGTCTCTGACCCGGGGGAGGTGAGCAAGACTGCCTGCACACCATGACAACAAGGAAAGTCTACACCAGTCTCTCTGGTTGGGCCAGAACCCCAAGAGGCCTTGACAGGTACTGATGTAGGTGCCTCTGCTTCCTGACGCCAGGGGATTTAGAGTTGGCCTGCATTCTGATTCCTAGTTCTCTGCAGTCCAGTGCCTGTACACACACAGGGGCATCTTGTTGCATGGACCAGAACCTCCCTAGAGGGCCCAGAGCATTGTTTTATTTATTTTGGGGGGACTGGGGGGGGGCAGCTGGCTGGTACAGGGAACTGAACCGTTGACCTTCGTGTAATAAGGCCATACTCTAACCAACTGAGCTAACCAGACAGCCCCCAGAGTGTTTTTTGTTTTCTTCCCTGAGTGTTGCTGAATGCAGCTCCACAAGGGCCTCAGCTCTGGAGAAGGCAGCAGACATCCCCAGGCCCAACCGGGATCATGGGGGTGAAGATGGAAGGGGGATGAGCACCAGATATGAAATCAGAAGTCAGGGGGTGTGTCTTAGAATTGCTGCTAACCATGGCTTCTCATGAGGAACCATCCCCTCTTTCTGCGTGATGAAGTACACAAAGGGCTGCCCACAACAAACAGGCAGACCAGCAGGGAGGCCTGTGTGTGTTATTGGGCAGGTCATCTAAGAGACTCAATGTTAGAATGGACTCAATGACACTTAACAGAGTTGCTAAGACAAATAATGGAGACAACATAGCTAAAAGAGCCTGACAACTAGTACAACTTGGGCAGGTCATCTAAGAGACTCAATGTTAGAATGGACTCAATGACACTTCACAGAGTTGCTAAGACAAATAATGGAGACAACATAGCTAAAAGAGCCTGACAACTAGTACAAGTAAGTGTTCACTCACTTTCTCCTCTTCCTCCCCTGGGCCAACCCATGTAGGAACTCACCATCTTCTGCAGTGTTCAGTTTGAGGCTCTTGCCCTTGAAACTTAGTTGTCCCCCAGCCACCTGGGTTTTGGCTAGTGTCTCTGCTAGCTTGGCAATGTCTTCAGAGGCCATGGTAGCCACGTTGGTGGGCTCCCCCGGAGAGCTATAAACTGAGGAGACCAAAGTTGCATTAAGAAGGGGAGGAATCTCCTGGGGCCTCTGGTTGGGGGCTTGGGGGGACAGGTAGAACATCGGCCATCTCTGATGCCTGAACCCACCTTCCCCTGTTATGGAGATCCCAAAAGCTAAACCGCTGAGAGAAATGACAACAGCATTAGAGAAGGAACAGTTCTAGAAAGGTAGAGGAGGTAACAGAAAGCAGAAAATTAATGTTTTAGCCTCTGAAGAGTTACCATCTTAATATATGTTCTCCTTTGCCTAGCTGGGACACCCAGCAAAGCCATGTGAGTAGCCCATTTCCTGGGCCCCCAGTGAATAGTGGTCAAGTCCCAGACCAGTAGCTGCAAGGAGTCTGTCCCAAGCACACACCTGCCTGATCATCTTGGCTGCTCACTGTTTGAGGGTCCCATTCCTCAAACAGGACATAGATGGCTATAGGATCCAGGTCATCCATCCCAAGGAATGCCTCACCGCCCATGCTGGCATGACTCTGGGGCTGGGGCACAGGGGTCAGCCCACTGAACTTCTGGTTTCAGCCCTGGCCAGGAGACTGGACAGGCCATGGTGGCCCCTCAGGGGTTCCTAGGAGACCAGATGTCTCTACATCACAACAGCCACCATCACAATAGGCCAGGGATAGAGTTGCCAGGAAAAGGAACTTCCAGCCTGGAGCTCAGCAGGACAGCTTCACTTCCCCAAAGAGAAAATGGCAGGTAATCAGGGGTGACCAAGGAAGAGTGACATGGGGGACAAAACTACCAAGTACTATCCAGAGGCTTCCTCCCCCAAACTCCTCATCTTCAGATACAGTTGTGATAGCACATTCCCCACCCATCCCCAGGCTGCCTCTGGGCTCAAACAGCCAGCTTCCCATCCCCTTCTCATTATCACCCTCATTTGTCTATGTCTGTTCATCTTCATCAATTATTCTTCTGGGTAAGGGATCCACTCATTCATTCAACAAAACATTTACTGAGTACTACTATTACTATGTGCTGGACATTATTCCAGGTACCAGGAGTACAGCAGTAAATGAAAGAAAAATCCTGCCATCCTGAAGCATGTGTTCTAAACAAGGCATTTAGTATGTTAGACTGGGAAAAGGGTAAGAAGTTTTTGGGGGAGTTGCCATATATATATATTTGGAGGGGCAGCTGGCCAGTCCAAGGATTTGAACCCTTGACCTTGGGGGAGTTGCAATTTAAAGTAGAATGATTAGAGAAGGTAACCTTAGTAAAGAACAAAGATCTGAAGGATATCAAGGATTGGGGCGCGCAGACATCTGGGGGAGGAGCACTCCTGCACAGGGAATAGCAAACGTGAAGGCTCTTGTTGGGGACAGGGGGCTGGAGGAACTGCAAGGAAGTCAGTGGGACTGGAGCACAGAGAGCGAGGGGGAAAGTAGGCAAGAGATGAGAAGAGAGTTAACAAGGGAGCCAGGTCACAAAGGCCATTTTAAGAACTGTGGTTCCACTCTGAGTGACAAAGAGAGCCTCTGGAGAGTTTCCACCAGAGGAGAGACTGATCCCACCTGTGTTTTGACAGGATCGCTCTATCGGCCACACAGAAGGTGCTGAAAGGATGATGGGAAAAAACTGAATAAAAATTAACCTGAAACCCCACTACCTCATAGAGTTCTGGGATGGGACAATTGGAGGATTGAAAGGTGGTAGCCGTAGTGGGGAGTGTCTCCAGATGGAATAGGGACACAGAACTTCTCAGCTTGAAGGGGCCCATTTCTCAGTACAGGAGAGGACACACACACACGCACACACGCACGCACGCACGCACGCACGCACATACATCCCCCCACACCTCATCCACCTTAAAAACTAAGAAGCCGAAGTACAGAGCGAAAGACTGATTGTCCAAGGTCAGCAGAGGGTCAGCGGCAATGCAAAGACCACCGTCCTCTCCCTTCTCGGCAGCAGCGTCGGAGCCTTGCTTCGGTGCACATCCCCGCTCCCACAGGCGTCCGCAGTGACTCACGCCGACCCCGGGAGCAGCGGCGCCAGCCCGGGCACCCCGCGGGCGTGGGCCTACCGGGAGGAGGCGGCGGGGCAGCGACGCGCGAACGCAGGCCGTAAATGACAGGAGCCCTGGCCGACTCGCGCCGCCTCCCCTTGACACCGATGCTCCTATGACACACCGCTGTTGGCAGCTGTAGGATGTGCGGCTCAGGAGAGTCAGACGCCGTCTCTGAACCTCAGTCTCCCCGCCTGGGAAAGCGGCCAGCGCCGCCCAGCAGCCCCACTCCCACCGCCACCCGCTCCGCGCTCGGCCCTCGAAGGCGCGGCGGCGAAGGCCGAAGGGGCACGCGCAGCTTCCTCGCCCAGTTCCAGGGCCACTCCGCGTCCCCCACCCATCCCAGGCAGGTGACGGAGAAAGAAAAGGGACCCCGATCCTACCGTAAACAGGCGGCGCAGCCACGTGGGGCGACCCGAGCGCGCGCGCCCGCTCGGTGGGGCGGAGGCTGACTTAGGGTCCGGTCAGGTCGGGGTCGCCGCCAGCGGGTCCTGCGGTCCCGGTGCCCAGCCCACTTGTCTGTCGCGAGGCTCTTCGTCACTCACGTCCCTCACACCACCTGCTCTCCGCACGGCGGCGGATGATGGCGGAGGAGGAGGATTTTGAAAGCCGGCAGTTTCTTTCCTCGGATTTGATTTGTTCGAGGCCCAGGCCGGCGTCGCCTCGGCCCGCGCGCGCGGCCTGTCGGGTGTGGGAGTCCCGTCGTGCTGCGCGGGCCGCAGAGGAGCGCGCGCGAGAACTACAAGTCCCATGATGCACCGCGCCAGGGCGCCCGCGCCGTCCGCCGCCTGGCCCTCCCTTTTCGAAGGCCTCGGGCTCTGTCTCGTGGAGACCGCAGGGTTGTGTTCGGCGGAGAGATCCCGGAGAGACTACAGTTCTCTTAAGGTTTTGCGGCCGGGAGGCTCGGCCCTTCCCGAAAGGTTCAAGCTCACGTAACTTCATTGACAAAGTCTGGTGTTGCCAGAGGCTCGCTGCAGGGTCTCTTCAGTACGAAGTATTCGTACGTGTCCATGTCCTGAAAGAAAAGACTCCCCCCCTTTTTTTTCTCATGAAGTTCAAAGAACATTTGAAGGCTTCCACATACAAAGCCACGAATTATTTGATAATTAAAAAGGGGAACTACTAACCCTATAGTGGGGAAACTCTGTGGAGACACCACCTTAATCCAGTGGTCCACGTTAACATCGGCAGGACAGACTGACATCAGTCGCACACCTACTGATGAGATGCACTGAGAAGGCCACGGCATCGCCTTCCAGTCAACAGTGTGTGTATTAATCTACTCACGAGGAAACACCAGAGAAACCCAAGCTGAGGGACATGCTGCGGAAAAACCGGCCTGTACCCTAACAAAAACGTCTTGAAAGACAAAAGCTGAGGAACTGTTGTCAAAGACTAAAAAGACATGACAACTGAATGCAATGCGTGGTCCGGGATCGGAGCCTGGGTGGGTGGGGATTACTAGCAAGGACAATATTAAGACAATTAGCAAAGTTTGACTGTATATTAGATAATAGTAGCGTGTGTGGTGGTGGCGTTTTGGCGGCTGGCCGGTAAGGGGATCCGAACCCTGACCTCGGTGTTATAAGGCTGCTCTCTAACTGAGCTAACCGTACAGCCCTAGTATTGTATTAATGTTATGTGTATTGGCTTTGATTGTGGTACTGGGTTATATAAGTGTTTTAGGGTAAAATTTGTATTTCGTCTTTGTCCCCGTTTCCTGGCATGCAACTCCTAATATCCTTAAAATTTTCAAAGTGGTGAGTGTCTTTTTGTATGCTAATGACTTGACTGATGCTCCGCAGCCCCTAGGTAGCTTCAGGATGGGGGCCAGTCTCCAGAAAGACCAAGGCAGGGTTAGAGGGTTGGAACTTTCACACACTCTCTTACCTTGGGGGAGGGGAGGAGGCTGAGTGTTAAGTTGATCACCAATGGCTAATGATTTTAAAGATCATACCTACCTAATGAAGTCTATGTAAAAACCCAAAGAACAGGGTTCAGTGAGCTTCCAGATAGCGGAACATGTGAAGGTTCCTGGAGGGAAGCATGCCTCCTGGGGAGGGCATGCAAGCTCTGAGCCCCTTCCCCCATAACCTTGCTTATGCATGTCCACATTTGTATCTTTTGTAATATCCTTTATAAAAAACCAGTAAATATAAATATGTGTTTCCCTGAGTTCTGTGAGCAGCTCTAGCAAACCAAAGGAGTTGGTCTGGGAACCCCAGTTTATAGCCAGTCGGTCAGAAGCACCAGTAAAACAGCCCAGCGCTTGTAATGGAAATAGGGAGGAGTCTTGTGGGACTGAGCCCTCAATCTACAGGATCTGGTGCTATCTCCAGAAAACCCACACACATCTGGGGTCACAGAGTATTATGTGTTGATTGTTGAGTGAGACAATAGCAAAAGCACTTTGGTTTTTCCTCTACATCCTCAGAGTAAAAGATTGCCCTTGTTCCTAGGGGAAAATGCTGAAATAATCAGGGGCATGATGTCTGCAACTAATTTTCAAATGACTTTTAAAAATGTGTGTATACATAGAGAGAACATGAAGAAATGTGGCAAATAAGTGGATCTGGGTGAAAAATACATGGGAATTCTTTGAACATTTCTTCAAGTTTTCTGCAGATTTTAATTTTTTCAAGTACAAAAATACAATTAGGTTTTCTTTTTTTTTAACAAAGAATTTTTTTTTTCTTAAATATGACCAGTAAGAGGATCTTAACCCTTGACTTGGTGTTGTCAGCACCACGCTCTCCCACGTGAGCGAACCGGCCATCCCAATATAGGGATCCGAACCCATGGCTTTGGTGTTATCAGCACCACACTCTCCCAAGAGGCTGGCCCTAACAAAGAACTTTTAAATCATAAAATAAGGTGTTTGTTATAAAGACTTCAATCATTATAAAATCAGATAAAGAGAAAAGTAAACATCTCCCTAAACTCTAGCATCAAGAGATAAT